TGAGTTAAGTTGTTTTTGTGGATTATTGTGATTTAAAAAATGTTAAGACTAACAAGGAATGCCGTTGAATGTCCTATTTTCGGTGAACCAACTGATTTATCAAGTGTTTCACTACCGACTTTTTTTGATTTAATAAAATATTTTTTGTGGGTTCAACACCAAGAAGAACAAAAACATGTTAACCGAAATTTAATTGTGGCTAATGCATTAGAAATTGTTTCTCGAAAAGTTGAAGAAATTTGGAGAAATGCTTCAATCCCTACCATAAGTCACCAGAGAATTGTGGCTTTAATTAAAGGTTATCAGAAAAAACGCAAAGATCTTTTGAAGCCTTATTTGCAGCGGCAAAATGTTTCTTCTTATAAATTACAAATAGAAGCTTTAAAAAAAAAACAGTAGAAAATTGTTTGACATTGCTGCCTGCAATTGTGATTTAAGTGAATGTTCTTGTCCAAAGAAAAACAAAGTGAGTTAATTTAATATTGAAATTTGAAAATAAAAATAAGCCTTATTTGTTAATTTATATTTCAGGTTCCTTTAAAAGAGCGTCAGTTTCTCGAAGATCAAAGAACGTACCGAAAAATGATGATGGGCTCTGTAGATTATAAAGCAGTTCGTCAACAGAAAAAAATTGAATGTAGAAAATACGCAGAAGAAATTAGAAAGAAGCAACAGTCGTTCAAAAACAAAATTCCATGTTAGGACTAAAAAAAATTTCGAAGACAGTAATATTTCTTCTGATGAGTCAATTCTTCCTAGTACATCAGGATTAGTAACAAGTAATATTGCTTCAGGTTCAGAAACAATTATTAAAATGAAAATTCCTGTGCTCGCCGAAATATTTGACCGTTATGCCATTTCCGATAGAGCTGGTGCTGCCATAGCTTCGGCAGTACTTCAAGACTATGGTTTAGTAAGTGACAGATCTAGTGAGAATGTTATTGACCGTCATAAAATAAGAAGGACAAGACAGAAAAATAGAAATAACTTACAGACAGTTTCCAATTCAATATTCATACGAGGGCTTTATTTCGATGGACGGAAAGATAAAACGCTTACATATTCAGAAAACAGGAAAAGAATGGTAACGGAAGAACATGTCGTTTTAATAGAAGAGCCGGACTCGAAATATATTGGTCACATATCCCCGAAATCTGGAAGTGCTTCAAGTATTTTAAATGCTATTACGGAGTTTTTCGAAAAACAGTCAAATGCTTTAGATTGTTTAGAAGTTATTGGGTGTGACGGAACAAATACTAATGTTGGAATAAAAATGGTGTAATTACCAAATTAGAGCGAAACCTAAAACGACCTCTTCAATGGTTTGTATGTATGTTGCATGCAAACGAGCTTCCGTTGCGACATCTTTTGCAACATCTCGATGGAGAAACCACTGGTCCCAGAGCGTTTGGAGGTTCAATTGGAAAAAGTTTAAGCAGCTGTGAAAAATTGCCAATCGTAGAGTTTTCCAAAATAAATGGTGAATTGCCAGTAATTTCAGAAGCAGAACTGAGTACGGATCAAAAGTATTTGTATGATATGTGTGTCGCAGTAAATACCGGAAATTGCTCTTTTGTGCTGTCAAAACGTGACCCTGGAAAAATTATGCACTCCCGCTGGTTGACGACCGCCAACAGAATTTTGCGCCTTTATGTTGCAACCTCTGAACCGAATCAAAATTTAATGACACTTGCAACTTTTATTATAAAAGTATATGCGCCCATATGGTTTTCGATAAAACTAAAAATCTTCTTGCGTTCAGGGTGCAAAACACCTTTTTAAGATGGTTCAATTCTGCGAATATTTACCAGAAGACTTGAAATGTCTAGTCCATAAAGTAATAAACCGAAACGGGTATTTCGGTCATCGTGAAAATGTATTGCTTTGTATGTTATTTGATGAACGCCTACATATACGAAGGCTAGCATATCTGAAGATTATGAAAGCTAGAGCCAGCGAAGCTCCTGAAAATGAAATTCGTTATTTTTCTATTCCTTCTTTTAATTTTGATGCTAAAGATTACTACGAATTAGTCGACTGGCAAAACGTAGTTTGGAGTGAACCACCCATTACCACTAAGCTGACAAAAGAAAACTTAGAAGAAGTTGTGCAATATCCAGAATATTCAGCAATAAGCTATGTTAGGAATTATCCATGTCATTCACAAGCAGTAGAACGAGCAGTTAAAGTGGTAACCGAGGCAGCTGTTACTGTTTGTGGTTACGAAAGAAGAGACGGGGTAATTCGAAGTAAATTACACTCCAGAACTCTAATGCCGAAATTTGAAACAAAAAAAGATTTTAAAATCAAATAATTTCTATTTTATGTTTTATCGTTTATTTTGTGAATTTAAATAAATGTTTTGTGAATTTAAATAAATGTTTTGCAAATACAATTTCAGTTTTTATTTAAAAAAGTCTGTTTTTCACCAACAAAATATTCGAGTCTTGGAGTACTACTGTAGTTGGATTTTTTAAAGAAGTACCCATTTTAGGTGTACTGGGGTGGAAGGGATCGATATATGATTTGAAAAAAAAAATGGAAAATTTATGGCATTAGGAAAAATCTTTCCATAGTACAGACAATGCAGTTTAAAAAAAAAATATTTTTTTTTGAGTTTGTGGCGGTGGAAGGAGTCGACTTATAATTCGGAAAAAATACGGATAACTAACTTATGGCAATATGATAGGACTTTTCAGTATACGGGCAATGAAATTTAAAAAAATATATATATATATATTTGGGGGGGTTGTGGCGGTGGAAGGGGGTGACAAATACTCTCCAAAAAAATGCAGTATTACTTACTTATATGGACACATCTTTTCCGCAGACAAGCAAAGTCTATTTTTTAAATTTTTAAAATTACACCTATTCGAGCGCTCCACCCTACTGGGTATATCATCTTTTTCAAAACGAAAATTGGATTTGCCTCAACATTTGATATTTCATCCAGGCTAAAACGTCCATAAATCTCTGCTCTGTTACCGAGTATATTATCGTTTAAAATATCGAGAACTAGAACATCATCTACATCGTCATCCTCTGAATCATCATCCTCTCCAAGAACAACAGCATTTATGATGTCTTCCATACTAAAGATATAACTGATTTATGAATAAATTTATGATAAAAGGCTCCAAACTATCAAAACACAAATATACTTTTTGGAAAGTTAGGTTAGATTTACAAAATGTAAACAAAACGGCTGTCATCAAACATTTCGTAGTAACAATTTGCGTTTCGCTTCCAACTGAAACTCTTTCATGAATCACTGCATTGCGTGCTTAACTCTTAAATAACGTACGTTATTTTGATTACGTTCGTGTCCGCACTGAAACTCCCTATTATTAACCATCCGCACGAGTCCCACCGCCTGACGAGTCCTAGGGATTCGCGATTGCGCGATTCGTTGCCTTAAAACCACAAACTCGAGAGTTTTTACTGTCAACAGCTGATTACTGTTTTTGTTTTTATACTATTACTATTTATAAATATTGTGATTTATAATTGAAGACTTTTTTGACAAAAGTGATTTCGACTATATTTTTTTAATTCTATCCGTAACATCGATATTATTTTAATACGTTCGGACGAGTTTTTAGTGTACTTACTTGTTATAATGTATAATGTATACAAACAAACGCTAATCATGAATAAAGATAAAATTCAAGCTGTAAGTGGTTATTTATAATATATAAATTGTAAAGATATTGAAGCACACAATTTATACATTGTTTTACAAAATCCAGATAATTATGAAATAATTCTGTCAGACAATAGTTTAAGTCCAAACTATCAATGGATATCTCGTCTCCATAAAAAAATTGCAAATTCAAATTATGGAAGTAACAAATAGTGAACAAGCTGTGCTTATTAAAAATTTGACTTCAGAAAAAGATTGTTTTAAAAATGTAGAGGATTGGAATCAGGTAACCGTTTTAAATTTGTAATTTTATTTTCAATACACTTCTAAATTCTTTAACGACATTTCAGAAAGAGCATTAAATAAGTACTAACTCAGTTATATTTATTTTGTCCTTTTTTTGCTACAATATTTTTCTAACAAAATTAACTTTTGCGGGTAGCTATTGTATTGGTCACTAAAATGATGTTACGCATTTCTATGATGCCCGAATTAGGAGAATCTTGCTTTATAGATTCCAGTGGAGGGGTGAACCGAGATGGAACTAGATTTTTTATTTTGTTTTGTTATATATTAACTGCTGCTTTTAAAGCTATACAGGTAAGTTAAGGGATTACCGTTGAAAGTTGCATTTTAACATTATTTTAATTTTAAGGAACTGCTTCCCAAAGATGCTTTTGGGGGACGATCTAATGTAATTGGTCCTATGGCTTTTATGACTGATTATGCTGCAGAAAGAAATGCTCTAAAACAAGTTTGGTCTGCATCTGCTATTTTGCTTTGCATATTTCATGTGCTACAGGAAAAATATTTTAGTAACTAATCGAAAAAGATATTTTACTGTATTTTTCTAGGCATTGTGGAGATGGTAATTTGATAAAAAGCATGGTATTGAGTTAAAGGATCGTAGTTACCAGCTTAATTTATTTAAAGTAATGATGTATGCATCTACAGAGGAACAATTAGAATATCTTTACCACACTTTGTTGGATGACACTTGTGCAAAGCTATATCCCAATTATTTAAAACATTTAGTTTCTTATATGAACCGTCGAGCTGAATGGGCTTTATGTTATAGGGATCAGTTACTAGTTCGGGGAAACAATACAAACAACTATTGTGAATCAGCTATTATGATAATGAAGGACTATATACATCAAACAGTAAAAACATATAATATTGTACAGGTACATGAGTATTTTTTCTATATTATAGCCTAATTTTTAAAATTATTATTATTATTATTATTATTATTATTATTATTATTATTGTAGAAATTAATATTTTTTAGGTTTATAAGTCGTTTTAATTTATATTTTGAGCAAAAAATTCTTAAAGTTGCTTTTAATCAACTAACAAACTGAACTTTGCAAAATGGCATTTCTAAAGAATAATGTTGAATGTGCCAGAGGAAAAACTATTGAGGTTTGAATTCATTTTTTTTTATAATTAATATAAATACATAATGTTATATTTTTATAGGAAGGAAACAACATATATTCTGTTCTTAGTGAAAAAAATTCGACCATGAAGTATTCTGTTAATATGGATCTTGTTTGTTGTGACTGTCCCATCGGAAAAGATGGGAGACTTTGTAAACACCAAGTAGCTATTGCTAAGTTTATGGATGTCTCCAATAGAAATATAATTCCTTTAAATGATCCTAAACAAAAGCAATATCTATATTATATTGCAGCGGGCAAAGAAATGGACTTGTAATTTTTTAACTCGTTAAGAACACATACCAAGGTATTAGACAAACAATTGCAATTGGGAGATAATTACTTAATCATATTATTTTAATTTAATTATTTAAGCAACACACTAGTTCTGACAAATCAGTGATATGTACCAGTAAATCAGATATAAGGGATAATAGTGATGCTTTAAATAATGAAGGTGATATAAATCCCACTTGTAGTACTATTTTTGGTAATGAAGATGATATGGATGTGGATATTAATGAAACTCCTACTCTAGAGAAGTCAAATACACAAATGGTAATTCTTTGTATCTATGGATTTTTGTTAGGCTGACTCACCAAACAAAGTAAAATAATATGTTAATTATAATTTCAGACTATAATAGAAGCTGAAGAAAATCTAAAGCATATATTTGACAATTTGCTGAACAAAACGTGGGAAAAGCCAGCTATACAAGCTTTTTCAAAAAGATTTAACCATATGAAGACACATGCTAATTTAGTGTCATCATTGTATTGCTTTGGGAAAATATTAAATGGTACGTTTTTTAATAATTATTTATTTAAGCAAGTAATTATATTGTAACATTTTTTCTAGAGAGCACCATTTCAACTAATGTATATTGTATATGCTGTTAAAAGGTAAGGAAAAAAATCGTGTTCAGCCTACATCTGTCTCTCGTCGACATATTCTACATTTAGGAAACAGAACTTCTTCTTTAGTTAATATTGGTCGACCACATAAACCCAAAGTATTGCAAGATTATAAATATGCAAGTAATTGTCAACTTTCCAAAGCACCTCACAGCTTAGCTACTTGTGTTGCTAAGGATATCAGTATTGGTCGTTAAAAAAAAAAGGATGTACAGATAATCTATGGAAGCGTAACCTAAAAACAAAAAGAATATGTAAAAACTGAAAAACTATCCTAAGGTAATTACAAGAAAAATAAGCAGTCGTCCGATAAAACTTAAAAGAAGTACATTCAAAAATTAACCCATCGAAATTAAAATTAGGAGTATCAATTGTTAAAAAATAAATATAGGTGCAGTTATTTCGTTCTAAAAATGAAACTAGTTAAGAATAAATTACTTAATATGAAATATAATTTACAAAAATGAGGCAGCCAAGAATAACAATAGTAAATTTCACACAAAATATTACAAAATCAAGAAATTAAAAATTTAATCAAATACCAAAACAATATAGAAGGAGATATCAAAGTGACATATTAAAAGAAGGATTAAAGATAACAAGAAAAAAAAATTATCGATTGTTCACCTTAAACATTTCACCAAATTATGAGTAAACAAAAAAATTGTATTGGATGGGAAAGGAATAACGTTTTTAAAGACCTAACTATACCCAAGTGTTACAACTGTCAAGGTTATTTTCATAAGAAGGGAAACTATTTTCATAAAATTGTATACCCAAATATTTAAAAACACAAATTTTAAATGATTTGGTTAATCAAGGTTTTGGAGCAAAAAATTGAAAACGAAAACTTTTATCAAATTTACAAACATTTCTAAATGTTAATATGCATGGAGTAAAAAACAAGAGGATACTAACTTCACTAGGTACTACAGTACCCTCTATGCCTGGCTCACTTTTGGAAATTCTATCATCTGATATAGCTGTTGAGGTTTCTTTTGGTAGTGCTAATATCTTTTCAGTGGCATATGTTGCTGGTTTTATAATAAAAGGTATAAGCAAAAAAATTAATTGTGCAATTCACAATTGAGGGGCCCAGAAGTAAAAGGGTTCAAGTGCACTTTTTAAAAAAACGGTCTAAGTGCAGATTATCACACCTAAAGTAGACCTTTACTTAGAGGTAAAATGCTTCAAGTGTATTTTACGTTCCCTGGCGACATCTCGTGTAGACTAGAAAAACGTATCAAAATATTAACCAATAAAGTCTGTGGTAAAATGATTCAAGTGCACATGAACCGTTTTACTTCCAGAGATGTCTGTAGATGTCGGCTATTTTTAAAATGATTCAAGTACACATGAACCGTTTTACTTCTAGAGATGTCTGTAGATGCCAAATATTTTTAATGTTTCACGTGTGTTAATGTGTTTTCGCAGGTACTTTTGTTAGTTCAAAACACATATTTTGCAGTGTTGATAGTGTTACATTGATAAGCAAAATGAGTACTGACTGGGAAAGTGATGGTAAGTACATTAATTTCGTAGAAAAGATTAAAATGTAAAATAACTTTAGGATTAATCAAAAGTTGGGTTAGATAATTTTTATTTTGTTTTTACAGAAGCTGATCCATTCCAGACTGATGAGGATTCAGACTATGTTCCTGACATAGAAGTAGAAGAAGTTGAAGTAGTAGTACCAGACGATGAACATGAAAATGAATATATACATGTCACTCCGACAAAAACTAGACAAAGAAAACGGCGCCCGAAAGAGTGGAAAGCTAACAGTGCTAAAAGATTGCGGACAGAAGGAAAGGAGTATATTGGAAGGAAAAATAGCATACAGAAAGCAAAAGAACTAAAAGAATATCCTCACGTTTGTAGATATCAGTGCAATGACAATATTAGTGAGGCCCAAAGGCAAGAGCTGTTTAGAAATTTTTATGAACTTCCTTCTTACGACCTGCAAACTGCTTTTTTATCTTCCTGCATTAAAAAAATCCCACCTAAAAGACATACACTCGCAGCTGTTGCAAATAAAAGTTATAGCACTGTTATAACCTTAGTGGGAAAACGAGTTTGTAAACAATTTTTTTACGCACTTTTAACATTTCTGTGCGACGATTTCAAACTGTTTGCAAAAAAACTACAGATCTTAACATGACCGAACCTGACAAGCGTGGCAAAAAGGAACCTCCAAATAAAATAAAGGAATCATCCAAAAATTTCGTCATTTCCTACATAAATATGTTCCCGAAATATAGTAGCCACTATTCTAGAAAAGACAATCTAAACGCAAAGTATATCTCAGGCGAATTGAGTATCAGTAAGATGTACAAATTATATGAGGAGTTTTGTATTAAAAAACAAGAGTTACCAGTAAAAGAGTCCTATTATAGGTTTATTTTCAATACGGAATTTAATTTAAGGTTTCACAAGCCTTATAGTGACACTTGCAGTCGTTGTGACAATTTACAAAATCTAGTAAAACACTCCACAAATGAAGACGAGATTACAAATGCCAAGCGAGACCTCGAGCTACACCAAAGGAAAGCCAAGAAAGCAACAGACGCCAAGAAAGCTGATATTGCTGAAAACAAAAACTCCAAAAATACTGCTGTAATTTGTTTTGATTTGCAACAGGCATTGCCAACGCCGCTGTTAACAACTTCTAAAGTCTTCTACCTCCGTCAACTATGGACATATAATTTCTGTGTCTTTGACTTACTGACTGGAAAAAGTCATATGTTTATATGAAACGAAACTGTTGCATCCAGGGGTTCGCAGGAGATAGGCTCATGCCTAATAAAATTTATTCGAAGTCTTCCATCAACAGTAACAAAGATTGTTGCATACAGTGATTCGTGTGGGGGACAGAATAAGAATAAGAACATTTCTAAACTATTTTCTTTTATTGTTCAAGCCACAAATATAACTGAGATTCACCACAAGTTCCTTGAACCCGGTCACACCTATATGGAGTGTGACCGTAGTTTTGGCTTAATTGAGAAGAAAAAAAGGCAAATTCCTCAAGTTTTTATCCCAGCAGATTGGGAGACTGTAATAAGAGGCACATCTGCCAAATTTGTTGTATATGAAATAATGAAAGATCCTAAAAAAGATAGTGACGGTCACCCCTTAAAATGGAGGGAAATTTGTTGGTTCGCTTATTACAAAACTGAACGACTATCGTTTAAATACAAAAGAACATTAAACATTGATGTAGATTTCTTCAGTTGTAAGATGCCAACTTTGCAAGTTGGACGTCCGTCTTTTAATTTTTCAATATTGAAGCCTTTCAACAAAACTTCAATAAAAATTAAATCTGTCAAGTACAAAAATTTGTTAACCTTAATGGATTACATTCCGCCAAGACACCACACCTTTTACGAAGGAATAAAGCACGATGGAGGAGAGGCATCAGAAAAAAAAAGGAAAAAAGAAACAAAGCCAAAAAGAGGAAGAAAGCGATGAAGATAACAACTTAATAGATTCTGATTACGAATAATAAATTTTGTGTTTTGTTTTTAGAAATAAGTTTAAGTTTAATGCAGTAATTGCACTTGAATCATTTCACCACCAAAAAATTTTTACCATGTGTAATGATTCAAGTGCATTTTTGCAAAAAAAACAAAAAAATTGAAAGTTAAAAAAAATCTTTGTTCTTTGTAATGTTTGTTTGTCTTTAAATAAAACTAAAATATTTACATAGTTTCCTAAACTAATTCCTGGAATTTTGAAATTTAAGTTAACTTTAAAGCCATTTATCTCGGAACTACCAAAACTGCACTTAAACCCTTTTACTTCTGGGCCCCTCAATTAATTTCCACAAATCTAGACTTTTATATCTAACAAAAAATGGTCAGATCAAACAACGGCATTAGTATATCCGAGTGAAGACTTTACTATAGTTGTAGGATGTGGAATTACCGAACTAGAAAAATTCTTAAATCGGTTTGCCTCACATCAAAAAATTTTGGAAAACTGCCAAAATTATTTAACACCTCTCATGTTTTGATCACAACAGTGATATCAAAAATATTACAATTAAATCAATTTATAAAATTGGAAACAGGTTGAGCGCAAAGCTTTTTAGGCAAAACCTACCCGGACCTACATACTTTTTTTAAATATTTTAATGTATTATAATAATATATAAGGGATTACTTAGGGTTTTTCACTATTGCTTCACTGGTTTTAAAGAAATAAGAGCGGACACCGGTCTTCGCCGTGGCCCCGGCTAACTGTCACGGACCCACCAGTGTCAGCTGTGGCCCTGCCAAACTCTCGCGTCCCCACCAGTTACCGATGTGGCCGGAGCACACTGAACACAACACGATATCAGTCGACGATCTTTTAATGACGGTAAACAAATTCCGGCAGATTTCGACGAAAATCCATGCTATATTCCAGAAGGCAGTTCAGACTATGAATCTGAGGATTCTAATGACATACAGCTTGGGGCGTCTTATATAATAGACTCTACCGAGCCACCGCCACCATGTTCCTATTCCACTAAACCACCTGCCAAACGTTCTAGATTGGCAGAAATAATCCAAGGAATTCCGTACCATCAGCCAAAAATCCCAGGTAATGAATCTAGCCTAATTAGTTCTAGACCAAGTAATCAC